TTGCACTGCTCCAAGTTGCACACTGAATTAGCTTCTCTTCTGCAATCTTGTGTTCGCCGCTAAGTCTCTCTCTTGCCACAGTTCTGGTTTCTTGCCTCAACACCCAAGCTCCACGCCCGACCGAACATCCCGAAACGCGTACCTTTGACTTCATCATCGTCCCTGCGGCCCCAAAACCCCAACGCCTCAAAACTCGGCACGCAACGTTGTAGGCTCCTCCTCACGTGCCCGAAGCTTCTCTGCAGCCTCAGCTCGGAAGCCATCGAAGTCGCGGCCCAGGGCTTCGCGCTCGCTTGCGAGCCGGCTGTGGCTCTCCTCGTTTGCTACCAGGGGATTTGGTAAGTAGTTCAGGGTTGACGGTGAGGAGCTGGGTCTCAGGGCATATTATATGTTTTCGATGTCAGTGAACTTAGTAAATAGGATAAAAGACGGCTTTTGCATGTAACCCTGGTCGTCGCCTGCTTCCTAAGGTTTGCTGATTTTCCGTGATCCCTTAAGAAGGGAGAATTCATGGTTGTAAATCGACACTCAGAGGGCGTGCCGGCTTCGAAATACACGCAGCCGATGATAAGCATGTTGTCGGCGGCGTCGATGTCGTCGTCGTGGTAGTAGTAGTAGTAGCAGTAGATAGCAGTAGTCGTAGTATTTCGACACCGTCGTAGCTGTCGCCATTGCAAAAGGAGGAGCAGCAACAGCAGCCGCAGCTGCATAAAGTAGCAGTAGCAGTAGCAGTAGCAGTAGTAGCAGTAGCAGTAGCAGTAGCAGTAGCAGTAGCAGTAGTAGTAGTAGTAGTAGTAGTAGTAGTAGTAGTAGTAGTAGTAGTAGTAGTAGTAGTAGTAGTAGTAGTGGTAGTGGTAGTGGTAGTAGTAGTAGTAGTAGTAGTAGTAGTAGTAGTGGTAGTGGTAGTGGTAGTAGGTAGTGGTAGTGGTAGTGGTAGTAGTAGTAGTAGTAGTAGTAGTAGTAGTAGTAGTAGTAGTAGTAGTAGTAGTAGTAGTTAGTAGTAGTAGTAGTAGTAGTAGTAGTAGTAGTAGTAGTAGTAGTAGTAGTAGTAGTAGTAGTAGTAGTAGTAGTAGTAGTAGTAGTAGTAGTAGTAGTAGTAGTAGTAGTAGTAGTAGTAGTAGTAGTAGTAGTAGTAGTAGTAGTAGTGGTAGTAGTAGTAGTAGTAAGCAGTAGTAGCGGCAGCAGCAGCAGCAGCAGCAGCAGCACCAGCAGTGGCAGTCGTGGCAGTAGCAGTAACAGTAGCAGCAATAGTAGTCGTAGTAGTGGTCGTCGTCGTAGTAGCAGTAGTCGTAGTTGTAGTAAGCAGTAGTCGTAGTAGCAGTAATAGTAGCAGTAGTAGCAGTAGCAGTAGCAGTAGCAGAAGTAGTAGCAGCAGCAAGTAGATGATGATGATGATGCTTAGGATGACGATGACGATGAAACAGGAGAATACAGTAATTGGGGCCGTTTTTGCAGGATCCTCGTGTTCAGATTCTTGCGAGCCCTCGGGTCCCACAGCTCTCCTGGAGGCCGCTATGGCGCCCTTCGAGGTCGGCCTGTTGCTCCTGGAGTCGGCCCCAAGCTCGGCGTTTCAGAGTTTACGCGGGCATATACAAGTCGGTGCAAAAAGGGTGCATTTGGGGGGGGGGGGGGGGGGGGGGGGGCGAACCGGGGCATGTTCGGACTTTAGCATTCTGGAGGGTGGTGGAGCTTTAGGGCCTTGTGGGCCCTGGGATTCAGAGTTTCCGGCTCGGATGTTGTAAGGTTTCGTTCCAGTTTTGTGTCTCAGCTTAGGATTTGCAGGAGTGTGGGTTTGAGGTGCTGCTTTTGCATTGCCAAGTCATGGAACTTGCTCTGCAGTGTTGGGAAGGTTTGAGTGTTCAAAGTGTCCAGACAAGTGCACAAGGCCTCAGAGCTTTCCAGCGCCCCTCACGAAGTGCTGGAGGTTTCAGGGGTTGTAGGAGTGTCTTCGGTTTGAGCGCTTTCCTCCATTGGTTTAGGGAAATAGAACTTAAACACTCATGATTATCATGGCATGAATTGTGGTTACATGCCAATGGCAACCTTACTCGCAGAAATCTATATGCACATATTTATGAATGTGTGTCCGTATGTCCGTATGTGTAGAGTGTAGAGACCGTCATGAGAACTCGCACAATGATGCGAGCCGCGAGCCCCAGAAACGAGAACCTGTCTAGATCCTGTAAAGGAACCCAATTACCTTAAGTACTTTGGGTTCCTTATTATAACTATAGTATAATGGGGCCCAAGACCCTGTTCTAATTTCTTAAGGCCCCTACCTTAAGCCTTCGGCGTCTCCTGCAGCTGCCGGATGCGGGCCTCGAAACTTTCACCCTGGCGCAGAAGCTCGGTCTGCTTCTCCTGTGACTTTCAAGGCGCGGTTTTGGGGCTTGAGGGCTGTAGAACTTTAGGGTTAGGGTTTTGGGTTTCGGGGTTCCACACGCGTGAGGACGTCTGGCAACAGCTACACAACAAGCTGAGTGAGCATGTTGTACTTCAACTGACGGCACCTGTTTTAGCCAGTGTTATCTGAGCAGTCTCTGATGCAAGAGCTCCTGCGCCAAGTGCTGCGCCCGATCCAGCTCGGCTTGGACTTGCTGCAACTCCTCTTTGGAACTTTGAGTTGCTTACACAGGATGGTAGCAGCTGACAGGCATACTCTCCAACAGGTGAACAGTATTCACAGTGCGAGACAGGAACAAGTAGACAAAGTAAACCTACAGCTCTCTGTGTGCAGAGGAAATGCCGGATCACGTAAACCCCCAAGCCATGGATGATGGCCGAGGTTTCAGGGCGCGGTGGCTGCACTCAACTTCACATTAACCCAAACGTTGAGTCCAACCACAACACCATATCGAGTCTAACACGCTTGCCAAAGTGCATGGTTGCAAAGAACATCCTACAAGTCACAAGAGACATTTCAAAATCCTAACCCTCTAACACGTACCAAACCGGGTAAGCCTGATAAAACCCTCATGGGCCGATCGTATAACATCCACCAGCGGACCACAAGCCTCCTGGCGCTGGCGCTGGAGGTTGGAGGTCGAAGAGCTGTGCTCCTGCTCCTTCTGCTTCAGGGCCTCATTTCGTCTCTCACTCTCGCACGCAGCAGGCAAGGCTCCACACATTTAGGGTTCAGGGCTTGTTCGGGGCTGTAGGATTTTGAAAGCCTCATCTGGGCTTAGAGCTTGTGGTTCCGGACTTTTTTCCCTCCTACCTAGCCAGGACGAAGCCCGCATTGCAGGGTTGGTTCCGGACTTTAGTGTTTAGGCTTTTCGGCTTCAGGGGTTGAGCGCTCCAGTCTAGGGCTTCAGGTGTTAAAGGACTTGCGGAGGTTCGGGTGTTTCTGTGGGCCTACCTCTTCGCAAGCTGAAGAAGGCCGGAGCGGGTTTCGTCACACCTTTCCCAAGTTCTGTTCTGTACGAGGCTTCGATTCAAAAAGCCATAGATATGTGCAGTTCTAGGACGCAGCGGTGTCAATCCTACATGCCGAGTGTTTCATAGTCCGGCCTCGTCCATCTGAGTCCTCAGATGCTCCAGCTGTCGCTGAAGGAGCTGCCTGTCGGCTTAGCACTTGATGACTGTTACTACTACTACTACTACTACTACTACTACTACTACTACTACTACTACTACTACTACTACTACTACTACTACTACTACTACTACGACTACGACTACGACTACTACTATGACTACTACTACTCAAGTGTTTACTACCGCTCTGTTCACCAGTAGACGGCGCGGCTGGAATGGAAAGAGACGGAAGCCCGAGCCTCTCTTGATCGGCGCCTTCCCGCTCCTGCGATGGAGCTGCAAAAGCACCCGCAGCCGCAGCTTCGTCCAAAGAGTTCGGGTAGAAGTAGCAGTAGTTGAGAAAGAGAGAGAGAGAGAGAGAGAGAGAGAGAGACAGAGAGAGAGAGAGAGAAGGAGAATACTAGTCACTAGCAGTAACAGGTATCAGAGTACCACATCAAGAGTAAGAGTAGTAGTAGTAGTAGTAGTAGTAGTAGTAGTAGTAGTAGTAGTAGTAGTAGTAGTAGTAGTAGTAGTAGTAGTAGTAGTAGTAGTAGTAGTAGTAATAGTAGTAGTAGTAGGAGTGGGAGCAGGAGTAGAAGCAACAATAGTTGTTGTAGTAGCAGTAGCAGTAGGAAAGACTAGTTGCAGAATCGTACGAATAACAATGAGAAGAAGAAACATGAACTTCGGCCAGACACAAGTGCTAGTCCTGACCAGTGGTCAGGGCTCGGGGCTCGAGGTCCCGTAAGCTTGCTAAGTGCAGCATCATTCCATTGCACTTCAAGCTGCAGGGCAGGGTCCAGCATGTGCACAGGATTTGTGGAGCTGTAGTTGGGTTTAGACTTTAGTCTGCAAGACTTGTTCTGTGGCAGGCTGGAGGCCTTCGGGCTTCGGATTTTGTCTCAAACGCATTGCACGAACTGCATCATTCTTGGCTGACAGCTGAGGGGATGGTAAGAGATGGGAGTCCGAGAACAGGTAAATGGCCCACGAGCAACGCCTCGCTCGGATTCAGAAGCTGGGGCCCTCACGTCACTCAAGCGCTTGTGATGTTCGTCCGCTTGCATGGCAGCGCCTCGGATTGAAGTCAGGCTTGAGAGCAGAGTCTTCGCCAAAGCAGGGAACTGAGGCTGAGGCTGGGGCTTTGTGGAGAACGGTTTTGCACAAGAAGCCAGAACTATGCCAGTTCTACAACCACCGGGAAAGCCACTCGCCACGCTAGTTACTTGGAACAAGTCCTTCTCGGCTTGGCGAAGCAATAGCGCCGGCAGCAGCAATAGCAAAGAGAAGAGTAACGGCGTTGCAGGTACACCATTAAGTATGTGAGAAGAAACCAAACAAGATGCCCCTTCAAGAAGCTTGCCACTACAGTAAGCATGTTATTTTCAGTCCACAGTCCATGCATGCAGCTCAGGTAGGTTCTAGTTTGGGGTCCAAAGCTGATAACTCTCACGCCAGACTCCCCAACGTGGAGCCGAGAGCTACGAAGTGCCCAGGTCAGAAATTACCAGAGCTTCCGCCGGGCTGCGTCTGTCTCGCTCCTCGATCTCGGTCCGTTGCTGGGCCATGCCGGCCTGAGAACAAGGCTGCGCTGGATATGACGACTCGTTTCTTGAGACAGGCACTCTCTTGGCGAAACGAGAGGAAGGAACGCTGCCTTCCTCTCCGGGACTTCTGGACTCTTCGTTGCAGGACCCCTTTACGCTGGGAGAGAAATTCTCAATATTTCATGCGTATGTTGGTGAAGAAGTGCATACGTGTTTCTGCTTTCCACCCTCGGTATTGATTGTTATTGGCTCAATAAAACAGGCAGATGGAGGCAACATGAAGCTGGTGGCCCTCCTATTCAAACCTATGCATGTCTAAGCCTTCGAGGCTTTCAGAAATGTCAACCTTTGGGAGTGGTCGATCCCTATGCACATGGTGCGGCGAGTTCTGCCGGCCTGCGCATCCGAGATGTCGGCTTGCAGGGTGCGTCGCTCCTGCTCGAAGTCCGCCAGCAACCGGTCGAGCTCGCCCTGCTTGGCCTCGAGCCTTTTCTCTGCATCCGCTCTAAGGTCCATGATGGTGGTGGAGATGTGCTCGTCCCTCTCCTGCAGCTTCTGCAACATCTCGCGCCGGAGGCTTTCAACGTCGCTGGTCAGCTGGTCCCGCGCGTCAACGACACCTGCATGGTCTGTCTGCAGTTGCGTGTGCTCTGCTTGCAGGGAGTCGTGGCCTTTTTGTAACTCTGTATGCTGCTGCCGCAAGCTGCCGTGTTCTTGCTGCAGCTGCATGAGCTGTGCCTCGTAAGCCTCGAAGTCCGCGCGACTGCGCTCCAGCTTCCGCTCAAGCTCAACCTGCTGATCCCGGGCAGTCTGGACTGTTCTCTCCAAAGCCGCATCCCGAGCCTGGAGATTGCTACTGGCCTCCTGCTGCATTTGCTCGTGCTGGGCCTCCAGCTGGGAGTGCTTCGCGGACAAGTCTTTGTGCTGCTGCAACAGCTTGCCCTCGCTCTCGCGCAGCTTCTCTTGCTCCGTCTGCAGCTCATCCGTCCTCCTGGCCATCTCGGCCCTCATGGCCTCCAGCTCCTGCTGGTGCTGCTGCCCAAGACCCGTCACGCCTCTCGCATGCTCCTCATGAAGCTGCGCCAAGGCGGTGCTATGCTCTTCCTGCAGCCGCTTCGCCGCCTTCACAAGGTCGGTCCACAAACCAAATTCTAGTGCTCGGTTGGCGACTGTGTGCCCGTAGGCTATTCAGCTCTTGGCAGACCCGGGACTTCTGATAGCTGAACAGGTGAAGAATCTGCTACGAGGGCGGGGAACCCAAATTCAATCCCGTGCACGACAGTTGCACAAAGCTGCAGTTCAGCACCGATGGTCTGAGACTTCACAAACTGCGGCAGGCCTCCTCGGAAGCGCCCAGGTCCTTGCAAAACGTTCAGGGCTGAGGACTCAGAGGCACCCTTGAAGGTGTCGGAAGACAAGTGCTGATACAACTTATGACTAGTGCCAAGATGATTTCGTCCGAGATTGTGTGCTGGGTGCTTTCTGGGAGCTTGCGGGGTGGCAAAGTCATCTTTGTGGGAGCCGGGCTTCAAGCTCTTCTAGTCTTGTGGCATCTGCGGCTAAGTTGGGAACCCAGATCTTGCTACTCACTCGCATTGTTGGGGATGCTCTGCTAAGTTTACACTCGCCGAGGGCTTGGAAGCTTTTCGAACAATATGTCAAGCCATGCCGCTGCTCTCGTTCCGCGGAGTTCATTGCGATGGCCTCAGCCAACGATGGGGCTGGATGGCACAAGGGACGAACGTCTAGAGCAGCAACACGCTGGGGAGCGTGGACTCAGCGTGTGCTGTACAAGTTCATCAGAGGTGTTGGGCCGCTGACTCAGCTGTAGATTTGCTGCATGAAAGGAAGCAAAAGCAGTGACCGACCCTTGGAACATCCGACAGCCTGGATCGTGGGCACCACAGGGGGAAACCGTCGTCCTTGCACCTCTAAGAAGGCCTAAACAAAGCCAAGCGGCTTTCCAGCTGCGCCTCGTCCAAAGCAGGATGCCATGCACAGTTTGCAAATGCAAGGCATATGTTTCACGAAGGCAATAATGCCTCAACAAGAAGCAAAGTTGCATGTTCTGCCGGCCTGCGCATCCGAGATGTCGGCTTGCAGGGTGCGTCGCTCCTGCTCGAAGTCCGCCACCAACCGGTCGAGCTCGCCCTGCTTGGCCTCGAGCCTTTTCTCTGCATCCGCTCTAAGGTCCATGACGGTGGTGGAGATGTGCTCGTCCCTCTCCTGCAGCTTCTGCAACATCTCCCGCCGGAGGCTTTCAACGTCGCTGGTCAGCTGGTCCCGCGCGTCAACGACACCTGCATGGTCTGTCTGCAGTTGCGTGTGCTCTGCTTGCAGGGAGTCGTGGCCTTTTTGTAACTCTGTATGCTGCTGCCGCAAGCTGCCGTGTTCTTGCTGCAGCTGCATGAGCTGTGCCTCGTAAGCCTCGAAGTCCGCGCGACTGCGCTCCAGCTTCCGCTCAAGCTCAACCTGCTGATCCCGGGCAGTCTGGACTGTTCTCTCCAAAGCCGCATCCCGAGCCTGGAGATTGCTACTGGCCTCCTGCTGCATTTGCTCGTGCTGGGCCTCCAGCTGGGAGTGCTTCACGGACAAGTCTTTCTGCTGCTGCAACAGCTTGCCCTCGCTCTCGCGCAGCTTCTCTTGCTCCGTCTGCAGCTCATCAGTCCTCCTGGCCATCTCGGCCCTCATGGCCTCCAGCTCCTGCTGGTGCTGCTGCCCAAGACCCGTCACGGCTCTCGCATGCTCCTCCTGCAGACGTTTCGCTGCCTGTCGCAGGACGGTTGATACAAGGACGTGCAACGTGACTTTCGGCTTCTCGTTTCCGAAAGCATGCTGCGCCAGCTCTGCCTGGTGTTTAGCACAAGCAATTGAAAGCCGCGTGCAATCAGCTTACTTGTTGCCGCCCTGCTGCAGTCAAGCAAAACAAGGCCCCTGTCGTTTGAGTTAGGCGTGCTCCAAAATCCTAATTAAAGTAAGTTGTTGCGGGCCGCCTGGCCATGCAAACCGAAACTTCAAGATATGCCAGGAGGCCCCAAGGCGAAATGCCTGCTCCATGTCCATCTTCATTTTTTCAAAGGTCGCGCTTAGTTGTTGCTTCTCCTGCAACAAGGCCTCATGGTCCTGCAGGACAGCAGGTGTTCGAGGCAATCAAAGGCATCGTGCTCTCTAGCTGAAATAGTCTGCGCGACAACGGAACAGCTCGACGACAACATCGCCAGAACAGTGCGCCAATGCACTTGATAAGTCTCCATCCCCTCGGCCACGGCCCAAGAAACCCACAAAGTACGAGCCGACACGGTCCGCACTGAGCTGCTGGATCTGGCTCTTGGAGCTTTCGGCCTGGTTTATCAGCAGTTTCGGCGAAGTGCCAGAGTTTATGGTTGTAGCTTATAGTTTAGGGCAGTTTAGAGCTTACGGCTTAAGGCTTACGGACGGTTTCCCGCATAGTAACCCTAGTAATAAGGCCTCAGGCACCCCTTATAATGGCCCTCATCACACACTAAAAGTATCCCGGAAGAGCTTAGGATCAGGAGCTGGCGGTCCAGTCAGGCCACTGCTGACTTCCCGAGATCTACCCTGCGGTTGCCTAAGAAAGGGACGCAGGTTCTACAGTTTTCAGTATGACAAGAATGTGGACAGATGAATAATTTGGACAGCTTGTCTGCAAAAGTCCAAGCTGAGCTGGTCTCTGCGCCTCCTTCTTGGCGTCCTCCCTCTCTCGCTCCAGGACAGAGGTCACACCTCGGGCTGAAGTCTTGACAACCCGGTCATCATAAACTAACCAACCCATCCAACCTCCAAACCCATGCTGGCCCGCGTTCCAAGCTGAAGGCCTTTTTGCCGTACCAGTGGTAGCAGCGTTAATTAGAGCCGACGGTCGTGGGTCGACAAAGACTGCTGCTACTGCGCACCTTCTGGTCCGGAATCTCGTGACTGCATATAGAACCAAAGGCACGGTTTTGTGGACGAAGGTCCCCCGCAACCTTGAGCCGCCTTTTTCCTAGCCCAGATGGGCTGATGCCTGCGACCTGCTGCCAAGTCACTCTCGTAGGCCTCCTCCATTTCCTCGCGCAGAACATGCAACCAGAGCCATTCTGACTTCTGATTCCTCTGTGTTTAAAGCAATGGACTTGTTCGGTGCCAGCAATTGTAAGAAGGTACGAGTCAGGTGGAGGCTGCAGACGATAACCTTCCTCGTACATAGTGATGGTGTGACCATGCGGGCTCTCGCTTCTGTAGCGATAACAGCACGAGTACTTTGGCGAAGAGGACGAGGACAAAGGATCAGGAGGGAGAGGCGGAGCAGCAGTCGCGGTGGCCGAGCAGGATAAATTTCAAGAATCATAGGCAGAGACAAGCTTGAGAAGTCCTGAACCTCGAAAACTCACGAAAGACTCCGTAAATCCGTAGTAGAACCCTTCGCAGGGGTCTCCTGTCGCTGCAGCTGCGCCTCATCACGTAAGGAGCTGGCATGCTCCGTAAGCTCCTGTGCAGGTGCTTGTCGTGTTGCATCCAGAAGCCATAACACAGCGACACAGGAAGCACACGGCGATCTGACTCTTGAACGCATGGAACACTGCGCGGGCCAACAGTCAGGAGATGACAATTCATCAGAATGGTTGCCGACAGTCTCGTGGTCAACTGAGACATCGTTTGTGCAATCCATCACCGGCCACCGCCACTGTTTGCTGCAGCTTCTTCTCACCTGGCTACTCCTGCGCCACCACCAGCACCGTCAACAGTGGCATCAACAAATAAAAATTTCCGGTCCCTAAACTCCAACCGACGAAATAAACAAACGGTCATTAGTCAATTGAATCGCTGTACCTGCCTCGATGTCTGACGTCAGCTGACTGCGCTCTGTGGTGAGGGCCTCACATTGCCGAAGAAGAGACGCGTACCTGAAGGCAATTTCTTGTCTTGCAAGGCATGACGAAGCACATCATGAGATGAGCAGCTTTAGACGCTCTCTGAGTATAAGGGTTTTGCACATTATTGCCTGTCGCAGATCTGCCGCACGGAGTTTATGGCGCTCGTTCCGGGTATACGGTTGCGCAAACTTGTTCAATGTCAAGGTTTTCATGCACGCTTTTACGGTTTCTTCAAGGATTTGTCTTTGTATTATAATTGTTCCGAGATGCTCCCTGCTGTGCGAGGTGCTGCTAAGTCAGGCTTTCAGGGGCTGCTGGCGGACCAGAAGCGACTTGTGGTTGCGTGAGCTTCAGGATTTTGGGGATCAGGGCCAGGGCGATGATTCTTCAGTGCAAGGTCCGTGGTGCGAAGCGGGTGTGAGGTCTTCAAGCTTGGGCCTCATTGTGTTTCTTGCTTGCGTCTAAGGAATGATCAGCGGTGGCGCAAGTTTCCATGGCTTCACGCATCTTTCACACTCCAGCTAATGCAGCCTTCCTGAACGGATTCGACTCAAAGGCATCGTTCGGCCGCATTGGCTGCCACGCATACTTTACTCTTTAGGTCCCCAGATCACCAACGTAGAACAAGGTCTTACCGAAACCAAACCAAACAGCAGGCATACACACACACAGCCACACAAATCTACTAACCGAAAGGATGCATCAAGGCCTGCAGTAACACGCACAAAGCGCACCGAAACAGTCACCATCCACCTGGAAGGCGCTACACCAGTTCATAGGTTGTCATAGATGAGCAAGAAGCCACTCGAAAAACAGTTGCTTAAGCGTTAGACAGACAGGCAGCCTGCACGCACACAAACACAGGCACACACACACACACAAAGGCAGGTAGATAGATAGGCAGACCAGACCAGACCCAGACAAACACACACACACACACACACACACACACACACACACACACACACCCACCCACCCACGCACGCACGCACGCACGCACGCACGCACGCACGCACGCACGCACGCACGCACGCACGCACGCACGCCCGCGCGCGCGCGCACGCACGCACGCACGCACGCATGCATGCATGCATGCACACACACACACACACATCCATACACTCACATGCGTACACATCTAAAAATTCGGCATATATAGGCATGCCCACATATTGGGATTTTGCAATGCCATGCTGACCAAATCGGGCCTGCTCTCCCAGCCCACTTTCTCCTCGGCGAAGCTCTGCCGCTCGGACTCAAAATCCGAAACCCGACCTCGGCTCGCAAGAGCAGCGTTGAAAGTGCCTGTCCTTTGGGTTTGGGGACTCGGGTTCCGGAATTTAGGACTTCAGGGTATGACAGCCTGACCGCTCGTAGCTGTTGCGTCGTGTTGGGAATCCACGTTGACACAGTCAGTCTGACGCAGCTCTGCGATACGATTACGCACAGTTTGAGATCGGAAATTGCGGCTTATGGAGACATTCCATCTTACATACTTCACCGCGGCCGGAACCCCTGCATGCGCAAGCGGGAATGTCGGGGTAGGGTTGAGGATTCTGGATGAGCAACTTTCGACCTTTTTTCCAGTTCTCTCGCAAGGGCGGACCTTCAATTTGCAGGGAGTTAAGGCTTCAAGGCTTCAGGGCTGCGGGTTTCAGTTGCAATCCGCTTGGTTTATCGATTTGAGCACAGCTTCTGAACCAGACCCATGGTCGGGTGTGCCGCATCATCCCAAACATCTCTTAGCCAGGTCAAGCATCATCTGCTTTCAGACACCGACAGCTCACTTCTGCGCCATCCAAAACGGCAAAGGACGAATACCGGAATTCCTGCAAGCATTCATCCCACCAGAACTGAACTCTTTCACCTTCTCCGTATCAAAACTTCTCAACCCCTCTGTCCGACGGGCTCCCAGAAACCTTCCTGAGCCTGACCAATTTAACGCCCTAAATCCTGAAACCCTGGGGACCGTAAACCCCAGAACACTCCAAACCCTAAAACTCCACGACGAGTGACGTTTGAGATCAGCTTCGGAAGAGCTGAGCTTTTGTGTCACCCTCTGCAGCTCACCCGACCTTCGCTTTCGAAAGGGTTTAGAGTTTGAGGGCTTAGGGGCTTGGCGTTTCGGAGTTAGGGTCTTGCCTTGTTCTTGGGGCACCAGGTTTCGACTCTCACGGGTTGAGGGATGTAGTGCAGGCAGCTGACTGCTTACTCCCCGGAACCGCCTCAGGGCCGGGAGAGCGGCAGGCTTTACGTGCTGTAGGCTCTACTCGCATAGCAATACCGGTCGCAAGGACTTCAACACTTACGATCAGCCGAAGTTCGCTTGTCCAAACACTGAATGTCGCCTTCAGATGGCCCTCGGGACCTTTCCGTACAAGTCTGCTTACTGTGTCATTCAGAAAGTAGACCCGTGCAGCATGGAAAGCTTTGGCTTCTCGAACTACGGTCCAGGTGGTTGAAGAGGGGCTTGGCTTCTAGGTGAATTTCTCAGGAGTAAAGACTTAGACTTCAAGGCCATATATAGATTGTAACAGTCTCGCGATGGGTCTCCATCGGGCGTTCCGTGTGTTTCGATTTAGGGCGGGGCGGATGTTGGCTGAGGAATTTCCGTGTCCAGGTTGATGAAGTACTGTGGCCCCGGTTCTATGCGACCGGGATCTGAGGATCTTCGAAGTACCTAGCCCTCGACTGCTACCGCCCCACAATTGCCCTGAGGCCGGCCCCAAACCTACAGAAGCCTATGACCTTTACTCTGAAAACACCCCTTTGAATGCAGCACAGTTCTTGACAAGGCCATGGCAGGTTTCGCACTTGGCCCTGCAACTCCTCACACCTCAACATTGGCTTCAGAGGTGGGATGCGGAATGTTGGGCGTAAGGCAATTCTGTTCTCGTTCAGGCTCGCGAACAAAGGTTTGAGACATGATGATCGTTGCGGCGAATCGGATTTCTTACTGCCACTCTGCAGAACAAGAAGGCAGAAGAGTAGAAGTCGCAGCTTGAAGAGGGAGCCGATGGGAGGAGCAAATGGCACAAGAGGCGCAGGAGTTCTACTTGCAGCAGAACTTTCTGGCATCATCGCGAACGTCCGAGGCATCGTCACCACCGACGGTGTGGCAAACCAAAACAATTCAGGTGTCTCCCCATCAAGGTGATAATCAACTATCGTCCGTACACTGCCCGACAGCATTCAAACCGCCGCCAGCAACACTGCAGCAACACCATCACCTCCGTAATATCCTTCACACCTTCGTAAGCATCGGCATTATCATCACCACCATCATGCTGAGCTGCATGCGCTCCTCTGCTTCCCCGTTGCCACCAACGTCATATAAGCATTAGGGCGATCGCTCTCTCATCATCCAAGCAGCAGCGCGATCAGCATCCTAATCAGCAGAACTCGCATCAACCTGATTAGGTCGCTCATCGTTTTCATCCGCTGCCACCCACATCAATAACATAATCTTCACGTCACTCTGATCACTATGACTACATCACAACCTATACCATCTGTGCCGCCTTGCCACCCTCATCGTCTTTATCCTCATAACAATCGCGATCGCCACTACCTCACCATCTCCAGCATAGCCACTGCCATCATCAACATCATTGCCATCGTCAGCACTACCGACATCTTGATCATAATCAGCATCGTCATCATTATCGTCATCACGAAACCTCATGGTAATCCTTGCCAACATAGCCATGAACAACAGACATCCGGAGCTGAAATCAGCACAGCAAACCTCGCACTCCCTCTGAGTGTCTCCACTGGCCCTGTAGCTTCTGCTCTGCACTCGCGGCAGAAAGCCTCGATGCGTTGAAAGTTGCTCTGGTTGACGGTTGGCTGATGCTTGTGTAGGATCCAGCCGGGGTGGAGCATGGCATGAATGATGTCGGACCTGAGGGACAACCGAATGTGCAACGATTGGAGTTATATGGTAAAAGGTTGTTATCTTTCTTCAGGGAACGTCGTACGTTTGCAAGCCTGTGTGGCCCAACTGTAACCACGCGGACAGTTTGGTACACCACGGGGCACTTTTATTCGCCAGAAGGTCCCTTAGCATCCACCTCTTCGGCCCGCGACAGCCCACGGACTTTCGCCGTCTGTGCCGGGCCGTGGAAAGGAGCAACTACTCAGCTCCCAAATGTGACAACTTTCTCCCTGGCTGCACTCAGCAAGCGTGCTGCTTGTGCACGCAGGGGAGGAGTGGTGATCTTGCCTTTTGTCCAGCTTGCCAGACATGAGTCCCGAAGGACAGGGCCTCACAGTCCAGACTTCCGAATCATCCAAGAGGTACAACAGCAACCTACAAGAAGCCAACAAACCACATACATATATGAAAGCTCCTATACCAAGTCAGGTCAAGCCCAAGGGGCGGCAGTCAGACCGAAGATCACGAAAAAGACCTTGCGAAGAAGCCCTCCCCAGGTGCCTGAGGATCCTTTGGGCTTCGTCCTTAGCGTCGCATAACCCTAAGATTGCCGAAGAAAGGTCGCAGGCCTCGTTAAGCACGTGCAAGCCCACGATTCCGACTTCTACAGAACCGAGGCCTTTCTGAGCATTAGAAATGCCAGTCATCATCACGGCGGTCTCAACACTGATCGTTCCAGTGATTAGTGTCATGAGCAGCCTGCTGGAAATGGTGACAACAACCACTAACGTGTGCTGTGACATGAAGCCTAACCCTTCATAGTCCCCCAGTCTACGTCAGCATCCTCATCATCAACCACAGCACCTTCATAATGATCATCATCTAAACCCTTAGCAGCTGTAACTGCTTCTAATGTTTTGCAAAATATGTAACTAACCCTGTCCTTTCCCTGAGCTGCTTGACCCCTCTTGATGAAGCACGGCGTCGACGTCACGAGCTGCTCCTCGGCGGACCACGGGAGCGCCACCGGTGCCGGCGCCGCGGGCACTGCATCCACGTAGCGCTTCATATCCTCCGTCCTGACGGTTTGGGGATTTTGAGGGTCGCGGGGGGTAGGATTCTTGTCTACTCGCTTCGCCGACCTCCAGCCTCAGTTGAGTAGTATTCTTGCAGTGCGACCTGGTTTGGGGATTTGTTTTGCCTCCTATTTGTATTTTCGGGGTTTGAAACGTAGCGTTTTGGAATTGACTGGAATCTCGGGAGTTAAATTGTTGACGATCAGTTTTGGAGCTCAGAAGATGTTCGGACCTTCTGCCGGCTCGGAGAATCCAGGCAAGGTTTTGAAAAACGAGATCTCGGACGGGGTTCGCTTGAAATGCTGGGGTGCGAGACGTCTGCACTGATGTGGACTCCATTGTGCGAGGAGCACGCACATAGGATGTCTGGCACTTTTTCTTTCTCTACGTCCACACTCTACACATGTGCCACTGGCATGCGCGAACACAACTCATATCTTGGGGGCGAGGTTTTACTTCCGATCTCACACGAAAGTAAACTCCGAAAGTAGATCAAAAGCCCTCAACCCCGGGCTTGCAGTCTCAACTGCCATTTGCACTCATTGACCAAACTTGACTACATGCTGCTCGGCCAAGTTTCGTCGCAGACACGGGCTGGCCCCTTGCCTGCATCCACTCGTCGGCCGTCATGGGACTCGTCTTACCTCAGGTTTCGAGCGGTTCAAGGTCCAGTACTACCCTAATGCTGATTTGGGCTGCTGCATCGCAAGCAAGGACTCGCGAACCATAGACCTCGAACTAGCACAGCCTGCGCAGAACAGATCTCAGCAGCTTCGCGAGGCAATGACTGCCTCTCCGGATATGTAAGTGCTCTGCTGAAACTCAGCTGCACTCACGCTTTGTGACTCTGCAAGTGCTCGGTGAGAAACATAGCTGTTGACAAAGCCAGCGACTTTGTCGAGATCTCAGATGTATCGCGTTGGCGCGCCGCGTTCCAGGACAAACCCAAACCTAAAACCACATCCGATTGGATGCCCCAATACTCCCAACACCTCCATCTCAAATGCAGGCCCAGCTGCCTGCCGTGTGAGGATACGGACACTCACGCGGGTAGGCATGGTGCAGCCATTGTGCAAATAGACGCCCATGAAGTGGCACCTTAAATGGCTGTCTACGTTATCGCCAGCCTCACGTTGTCAACAAACGACAGGACCCTGCGTGTCTCCGTTTGCTGGTGATTCTAGAAAGATTCGGTGCTTTGATGTTTTCCATTGATGCTTCCAAGCAACCTCCACTGCGGAGTCACCTCCGCTCGAAAACTCGTGGTCATTTCCATCGAGTTTTCGAGCAGAGGTGACTCCGCAGTGGAGTTTTTGCTTGGAAGCATCAATGGAAAACAGTGAGGCAGTGAGGTTCACCCTATAACTATAACGGCAGCTCAAGAGCCCAGAATGGCAAGCATCCTTACTTGAAGGACGTCAAAGTGCGAAACCCCTTTTGAAGAAGTCCCTCGCTTCTTTTCAAACGTTTTTTTGATTCCCAAGGCTGCACGCCAGACCCTTATGCCGTAAGCCCTACCCTCAAAACCCTACCCACCCTGACTTTCCCGAAGGTCCAAGGCACCGAGCCCCCATGCTGCGCGGCCACCTCGTCCAGGCGAGCCGCCAGCGTCTCCGGCAGCTGCCCTGAGGCTGTGTCGGAATGCTCAGCAGCATCAAGGGTCGGGGGGTAGGGTTTTCTGCCTCCTACTTAGAGGTTCCAGTCTCGCTCTTGAGGGTTTTTGGGGTTTGGGATTTGGCAAGGAAAAAGCCACATAGTGGACACTCAATCAAGGTTGCATCGCATTACTGTCAATTCTCTACGAAAGGGGACTTCTTGGCGTCAGAAGCAGCTAGAGCTGCCGGCCTCGGAAAGCGCAGCAGGTCAATGAGTCAATGGTAACAGTAATCTTTGTTATTACTGTTACTGTTATTACTATAAGAGCAGCAATATCACCATGTATATCAACATCCACAACCAATCATAATCAATAACCACAACCAGAATATGAACAGTACTTATAATAGTACTAGTTGCACCCTAAACCCAAAGGAAATGAACCAGACAAGATGCGAGGTGTACGGACAGTGGCGGAGGGCAGCGAGGCAACAATCTCAAGGATTTCTTTGGGCGCCGCTTGAGGTGCAGCCACCTGCTGGTGCAGGCGGGTTTTGAGGGTTTTAACCTAAGTAGTTGAGGCGCTCCGACAACAAGAAGAACACCAGAAGTTTTCCAGGTATTTCTCCTCGGGGGACTGCAAGCCCGATCAGGATTTCAACTTCTGAATCACGCCCGTGACTCGAGCCGGAGCAATAAAATCTGGAGAGCAGTGCGAGTAAAGAGTGCTGAACCTAACAACAAGTCAGGCAATAGCAGCACTACGCATGTACACACATCTTCCCTTCGTCTATGCACACGAAAATGGCATACATCAAAATTGAATATATATATATATATATATATATAGGGAGACAGAGAGATGTAGATATACGCAAAGAGGAGAGATATAGCTATACATAGAGAGAGAGAGAGAGAGACAGAGACAGAACTGCGGCACACCAACACGATGTACCAGCGAGTGAGCAGCCTGAGGCTATCCGTACATGTGCTGCCCAGTGGCCGAACATGCCAATATGTGTAGCCCCGAATTGCACTATGATTCAAACAGCCGAAGCTAAAGACTGCACACATTCCTGAGCGTCAGGCCTGAAGCTGAATGCCGGCCCGCCACGACTCTGACACACTCATGCATCCCTTCTTTTTTACAGTCTTCTCCCGTCCTGCCTTGGCCTCAAGGTGTCCCATCAGGGCCTCGCACTCGTTGATGCAGCAGACCTGTGTCAGGGCTTGTAAGCCTTCGCAGGATGCCATGAAGGCTCTTCACGTATAGACTCAAGCGTTTGCAGTCTCATAAAGCGTCAAAGCGTGAGGTTATGCTGTACTGCGGGGCAGTCCAGCTTTTGCAGAAGAGGCAATTCCAAAGCTTCAACCCTTTTTCTCAAGCTGAACCGCCAATGAAGCTTCAGCTTAGAAACCGAATAGATACTGGATGACGCCACGCAGTTCGACTGTGAGTTGACGTAGTTCGGGATGAAGACGGCGAGGTGCGAGGGGTCTGACTCGTCCAGCGCACCGAGCTCCCGCAAGTATTCGATGCTCTCAGAGAACCTGGCTTTCGGGCACGGAGAACTGAAATACTAACCTGGCGAAAAAAGGCATGGAACAATAAACAAACATGTTGAAGAACCGGGGAACTGCCACTGGCCCCCCAAAGCTGCGGAATAGAAGTCCTTCAGCAGGACACGTCCGGTTCCAGCATGCTCGGACTTGAGAAGCGAAGTCTTCAGGTCACGGCACTCCGAATCCTGCCAGCGACCGTAGCGTTCACCAATTTCCTCGACTATCTCCGTCGCCGCACGAAAGGAGAAGTTCTCGAGTGCAAAGTTGGAATCGGAACTGGAACCCTTCTCTGCAACCACGCTTGAGCGCACCTGCATCGTGAACTTGCGCGTCTCCTGCCAGCCCGGATAGCTCTCAACAATCATGTCGCGCTCTTTCGATACGCTGGTTGCTGAGAAGTTCTGCGAGCCCACAAGGAATAGGGTCATGTAGGTGTCGATGAGGTCTTGAAGCGCGACCTCCTTCACCCGAGCATCCTGGGAAAGGCCGTGGGCCTCATAGACAACCTCCAGCCGGTGCACTGCCTCGTCATGAATCCTTGACTGACCATCGAAATCGAAACACACAGTCTAAGCGGCTGTGAAAAGGAGAGCGAACCTCCAAAGCTAGGACTAAGATCCTTGGACTGCAATCATCTTATACTTTGGAACACAATACATCGGATCTTGATTCCCACACCAACCTCGCGACTTACATCGCGATGTCAATGCTCAAATCGTCCGGGGCTCAGGTGCTCCAACGTTGCTGCCAGCACCGTGAGCTCGTGCAGTCCGAGCCCCTGGTCCTTCTCGACTTTAACTAAGGTGGCTTGGGCTCAGAATGATGCAGTTCGTGCGAAAGTTTCGTGTCTGTGTCCGATGAGATCAGTGCCAGGCCAATTTAGAATGGAGTATCTGCGGTATTTTATGGTGGAGCGTTAGGGTCAGGTGCTCGTTGAGGCTTAGGCTTAGTGCCCACCGTCCTTCAAGCGCTCTTCGAAGAGCGACAACACGAAGGACGGCACATGCTCCTGATTCCAGAACTTCTGGCTAGGGTGGGGGCGGGTGGACCGTAGTACCGCTGCAGCACGAGGTTGGCAGGCATCTCACAACTTCGACGTCTACTTTGCTGTGCATGCTACGGTGCCGAAGGTTTGTTGCATTGCTGTTGCAACAGAGTATGACATGAATAGTTTCGAAGCGTTGGTCGCAATGTCAGGCTACATATAGCATGCTCATACTGCTCCTGGGCTACACTGCTTGTTCCTTTGGTGTCCTTTCTGCTGTTTTATGATCCGTGCTGCGCGAACACAGCCTCACAAACCACCGCAGTGCATAATACAGGGACCTCAATAGTTAGAACTTTGACACCCTGTTCTAATCAAGGCCCCTATATTGGATCAGATCAGAGACTGGAGAAACCCCGAGCTCCTCCAGCACCTTTGAGGTGGTCACGTTCTTCCAGTCCATGCCATCGGCCTGCAAGCCCTTGATTTGCATGGCGTGGCGCTGAACAAAGAGCCGATGCAGCACGTACCTCTCAGGAACGAAATGACAAAGCCCTAACTGCTCGGTTCTAGATTCGTCAAGAGTACTGACGCCTTTCATGGACCGAGGTGGGAGGACCGTGTCTTCTGGGCAGCTGCGAAATTTCAAGAGGATATCGGAGGTATGGCTACGCTACGGGATCAGGCGTGATTAGACGAGCTGCGGTCCTCGCTCGAAACGACCATGTGGGCTCACGGAAAGTGCGTCAGAGCCAGGCTTGGACAACTGGCCCGGTGGAATGGTATACCATACGCCAACATATCCACATACACATACAAAAAAAGTGCGTAGATATAGATATATATATATATATATATATGTATAGAGACGTGTGTAGACACACCAACTAACTAGCTCCGTAACCGGCTCGAGGTTCGGGGTTTATGTGCGATGACGGAGTGCACCTGGCGGCTGCATCTTCCAACTTGCCGTGCTCGTTCTTTGGCATTGCCACGAAGGTCGGCTTCAAAACCGCCTCGCCAAGACTGAAGATGTAGTAGTAGTAGCAGCAGCAGCAGTAGTAGTAGCCGTAGAAGACCCCTCCTACGGGGACTTTGGGTGAGGTGTCCTTGTGTCATTGGGGGATTTTGGAGGTGCTTGTGCCGGTCAGCGAGCAAGTACTGCATTTAGGAAGACGCTCGCTGGCTTTTTGCCTCAGTGCGCGTTTTACGCATCAGCCCTATGTCAACCGCACCACATAGCCCTGATTGAACTCCAAACCTACGACCAGAAACAATTGTGTGTGCGTGTATATATATATATATATATATGTGTGTGTGTGTGTACATGCGATTGTATGCATGATTTGTAAAACTATTTCTATAAGGTTTCACTCCCGAGTCTCAAAGCCCTTTTCTGCCAGAGGTTGGTAGTCTGAACTCGCGACTCCGGTCTAGTGTATTTCTCCACGAAAACACCGCTCGAGCTGTGTTAGTATTAGTGTAAGCAGCCGTCTTATGTAACTCTAGAAGCGACAAAAAACTGATAGTAATCATAACAATAGTAATCAATCATAATCATAACATAAGGCTAATAATCATAATCATAATGGCCACAATAGTCCTAACCACAATAACCAATAATAACAATCATCAATAATAAATCATATTAATAGAAGATCACAGCCAAGGCCTCGATGCTCTGGAGGCGCTTGTCGGTGACACGGTTGCCGGTTCCCAGCGCTGCCATGACCTGGCCGGAGGCCAGGGAACGCCTGCTCTTCTTATTCTTCAAGCTTCTATTCTTACTCAGGTTATTATTATTTGTATTAATTCCTACTACATCACTGCTACTATGATATATTTGTGTATATGCATATGCATATATACACATAATACATCGACTAACTGACTTAAATACTGTTCTGCTCACCATACTCCCACCTCTTGCAACACGGTCTCACGGAGCTGGTCGGTGCTCATGGACCCGGCACTCGCATGAAGGTTTCCTCGAAGAGAGGCTTCCGCACAGCGAGTCGCGGCGAGGACGAAGAGAAGGCGAAGGGCCATCTTGAATATGAAATCGGGGCCTGAAATGAACAGGAGCTGACACTGGCCAAGTGAGCTTACTTGAGCCTCGGCTGGAGCAAGGGCGTCATCAAGACAAACGCAAGGTCTGTGTGCTGAATCGATTGTAAATCTCCGCTTCCAAGACCACACATTCAGCACACATTCTACAGTTTCTACAGTGGTGCTTGCACGTAAAGCGATCTCCATCGGGACTCTTGCGCTCGCACTTTGGCACTGTGCTGTGCGCATGCATCGGGACATCAACGAATATGATAGTCGCAAGACCATGCTACCGACAGTATGAAATGAAACCTTTCGATGATAAGGGTATGTGAGCCTCGATTTCGATCCTTCGCCTTGTGTCCGAGTTTGCTTTGAGATGTGTGACTGGCACATGTCCTCACATATCCGAAGCATTGAAGCCTCGAACCTCTCTCACCCTGTCCTTGTCTAAAAAGGCACGTTCTTGTCAACCGCACTCAGTTGAACTCCGTACGTGGCAGTTTCGCTGCAACCACATTGATTATAACAACAATAATCATAGCGGATGGCAATGAGAACACTAGAATTCTTCTAACAAGAACAGTATTCATTGTACTAGTAAGATCAGAAATTCTGATTCCTCATAATAACCTACTATTCCTATACCATCATCCATAGCAACAATCATCGAAATATCGCCTCTTCTTAACTCTACCAAAAAGGCTCGGAGCCGAAACTTCCAAAGTTTGAGCCTGTGCAGGTTTGAGGCCCGGGCTCGCGCGTGTGACCCTCCTCCAAGAGGGCCTTCACCTGCTTTGCTGCTCGTTTTACCATAATTTTCGGATTGAGGAACTTAAGGGTTTAAGGGTTTTGGCATTGGGGTGGAAGATATCGTGCTCAAGTCTGAAGAAGTCTCGCTGGCACCCCTTCCCCTGTTGGCAAATAGTTGACGATGCCTGCCAAGCATGCAATGGCCTCCTGGACTCTGGCAGCGACTGCTTAAGAAGCATCACGTATGACACGTTTTAACGTAATACACCTGGTTCGGCCAGGCTCCACAAGCTTCAATGTGCTCATCCCGAAGGCCGGATGCCCACGGCTGACGACACGTCCTGTCTAAGGCCACGGCGTGCCACGGCCTATGCACCTATATGATCATCGAGCTGGGGGGGCATCATCCGCTCCGTTTTAGGCTGGAGACCTGCGAGATATCCCAAGATCCGGGCCTTGAGGTCAAAGTCCTCCTGCAGCTTCGTGCCTTGGATCGCGGGTCCCAAACACTATACTGTACGGTTATGCTGTGTATACATGCATACATACATACATACATAAATACATGTCACTTAAGAACAAAGGAGCATAAACATTGATATTTGTGTATATATACACATGTAGATGTGCACATGCACACACACCTGCACCATGTGAGTATCCTTACAGACTTTATGTACTTGCTACTACTAGTACTCCTCTCCCTCGCTATTGCATGCTGTGTACGTACATACATAAACACATGCAAACAAACAAACATACATACATACATACATTTTTGCACTCAAACTCGAGAAACTTAGGCGAGGTTGGGTACGGAGTGACAACGATCTCCTCATCTCGAGAAGAGAGATACATACATACACACATATACATATACATACATACATACATACATACATACATACAGACATACAACACATACGTACATACATACAGACATACACATACATACATGCATACGTACACACATACATACATACATACATACATTCCTCCATTCATAAAGACATACAGTGACATACATGCACACATCATCATACATTATACTATAGTAATGCGATCTTTCATTACAATGCTTCATTGCATGTCACTTAGATTCACGTGTGTGTGCATGCACACACACACACACACACACGGATATTATATATATATAGATATACATACGTACTCAGAAAAGAAGAACACTTCGGAACCTCTTCATGAAGGTCGCTCATGCGGGGGTTGATTTCCACGGGGGTGTTGGCGAAGCTTGGCGTGCCCCGTTTCGGATGCTTGTGTCTCGTCTAGTTGGGGTGTGGGCTCAAGAGCCGAAAATATCATGCTGACCATCCATCCAGCGGCCGCGGCACCCACACCACAAAAGAACGCTGGCTGAAATTGACAGAACCACGCAGAACCTGCCAAGTCTGATTCTATCCGGCACGGGACATCTCTGTTCGGCATCCTTGGTTTTCTCGGACTGCAAGGCCTCAGAGAACAGGTGGTGCGAACGGCTGCTGAAGTTGCATCCATGGCACCCAGAACATGGCTTCAGTTTACCACTTGGCAGGAGGCGAAATCTGACGCAAGTAGACCGGTCAGCAATAGGGGTGAGGGCTCAGCACTGTAGTACACCTGAAAACTGAGTTTAAAGGAATGATGGGACCGGCTAAGACTAGAGTGTCCTAAGCTCCCTCCGAACCTCCTTGGAGTTGAGGCCAGACTTCCGATCCTCGACGCCCCTGCACCCATCCTTAACCCAAAAAGCCCAGCATAAATCCCTGATTCAGAACCCCCTGGCACTTTCTTGCGGAGTGCGACGGCGATTCTAGCATTGCGGGCCTCATATTACTAAACTAGCACCAACATCATCACTGCATACTGTATACTACTAAAGACAAGATAGGGGAGTGGGAGTTGCTACGTGCGTAGAGCATGCGGGAGTCGAACCCACCTGGAACTTCGTCAAGTGCTGAGTCCCGCTGGCTGCGCCCCGAAGGCGATGATGCCAAGAAAGGGGGGAGGGCTTTGGGCCTTCGGGCTTATAGGGCTGCTGCAGGGTTCAGGACTGAATTATACCAGGTGTAGTCTAGGCCTTGGACTTTGATACTGATTGCGTTTAGGGCGTGGGTTAGGGGGTGTAGAGTCGTTGAAGCCGTCGGGAATACGGCCTGTATCTCAACGACCGGAGTATGCAGTGCATGCAAGGGCTGAAAGGCTGAAAGGGAGCCATCTCGCTTTTGTTCGACGACACCGAGACCGTGCCGACCCTTTTCCTGAAGCCTTAATGCCACAAATCCATCACCCTGACAACTTCGACCCGCAGTCTTGTAAAGGGGCGTAGCATGCCCTGGTGCAATGCACTAGTACCGCAATGAAACGGATTTGTTCCGCCTATCTGGGCCTATCTGTAGGATGCTCCATGAATGCTGACCAGCAGCCACACTGCTGCTAACATACCTGGTCCGACCCAAGCCTGGAATTTGCTCAACGCATTTTTCTGCACAAGGCCGCTGGGAGGTCTCTGCGAAGCATGTCTGCAACTATCGATCAGGTTACTTGTTGGGCTCCGGGTTTCCATCGCAGACGCGTTTTTGTGCTCCGCATGTCAATAAGGTCTTAGCCACAGGCTTTCATGGTATATACTCCGCAGAAGTACAGTCAGTGAAAGGCTCCATATGGACAATGCAAGCTCAACAACCCTGCAAGCCTTTAGTTCGGAGTCGCACCATACCAACTCGCCAAAGAGCTGAGTAGCATTGGAGACCGTGAGGTATGGAGCAGCCTCTTAGGGAAATGTAAACATGTACCGGAAGAGTATCCGGAAGCAGCTCACTCTTGATCTCCTTCGAGGTCCTTGTTCGGGTTTGCAAACCCACGGATTGGCGCTTAGGCTTAAAGCGGTGCTGCACATGGGGGGTCTCTTGTTCAAGACTTCGGGTCTACGAATGAAACATCGAATCTGGATGGAAGGAGTCCTCCTGTTTGAAGTCTGTTGCCACCGTGAGATTTGCAAGTTCTGACCGACTCAGACCAGGAGTTGCGCTGCTCCCCTCCTCACATCTTGTTGACATCCTGTTAACACCTTAGTTTTCCTCATGCAGCCGTTGAGCGGTGTTGCTGTGAGTTCAATGAGCTACTAGTTGCCCGATTAAATCGGACCAACTGGCTTTGTCGCAAGAAGTGTCTGTGCCAGCACACCGTGTCGCATACTTTCAAGTGCAGGTTACCAGTTGAGGCCTGGCATGTACGGCCTGACCAGGGCGAATGATTTTCGTGTCACCACTGTCTTGCATGCATGAAGAAGTGCTCCAGTGATGGTCTGGGCAGTCTGCAGTACACTGAAGTGATTGGCTGTTTTCCCCATCTTTGTCTTAGACGCACAAATTCCCAGTTCTTCAACCCGAAACCGTGCAGTATCACTAACGCTTGCAGACAAGTCTCTTCTTCTTTCTGATCTTCGAGCTCTGCCTTTTTCTCGGGCTCGGCCGGGTCATCGTAGTAGTCCTCCAGCGCACACACGGTCTTGGTCTCTCGGCAATCACGCTCTCTTCAAAATCTGTGTGGAGGCAATGGCTAACCCACATGGTACATAAGACTCCGGCACCCGTGGCTCTCAGATGGGGCTGCAAAGCACCCGTAGCCGTCGCGTCAGCTAAGCGCTTCAGGTAGCAGTGGCGGTTGCATTTGTGCCGTGTTTGACGTAGCAGGAGAGGTGGAGGTGGAGGTGGAGGCGGTGGTAGGGGCAGCGGCGGTGGTGGCAGCAACAGGTTACAGCAGCAGCCTCAGCAGCAGGAGCAGGAGCAGGAGCAGCAGTACGTGTAGTAGGAGTAGTAGCAGTAGTAGGACTAGTAGTCGTAGTGGTAGTGGTAGTGGTAGTAGTAGTAGTAGTAGCAGCAGTAGTAGTAGTAGTAGCAGTAGTAGTAGTAGTAGTGCTAGTTGGTAATTGGTAGTTAGTTGGTAGTTAGTAGCTAGTAGTAGTGGATCGTCGTTGTTGTTGTCGTGGTGGTGGTGGTGTAGTAGGACCACCAACATTACCAACATCACCACAACCACCACCACGACTGCTACGACTTCGACTAGCTACTACTCCTACTTCTACATCACCACACCGTCACTCCCAGAGGCAGCCGATGACAGCGATGCACTGCGACCGCTACAATGCCCACTACGCCGAGCACAAATCTCAGCAAAGTCGTCCACGAACAGCATCAACAAACGATGCCCCGACATGAAATCCCGCAACAACACGGGATCTGATCAAA